TAATTAGAATTATTCCGGAAATATTGTGTATCGCCCTTTTTTATGTCAACTCAAAATGTTGCGTAGTAAATGCTATTTAAATTTTATAAAAGATCATAATTTTCTACATGTGGCTTATGAATCCGCTTTGAGTTTTTATGTTATAGGAATGGGTGCTAATTAATTGTGAAAAAAAAAATCATTAATAAAATATGTCAAGGCGTCTGCCAGTATTCCAATTTAATTCATGACATTTTTAGTACCACAACACATAAACTTCAAATTGGTTTGTTTTTTATTATAATTTATAGGAATATTATTACCCACAGTAAAAACCTTTAATTTCCATGCTTATAAAGAATACCTCGTATTCTAGGTCCAATGTGATTCAACTATCAAGAATTATCCTCTTCAGAAATTTCTGGGTTACTGTAGTGGTTTGGTGTAAACTTGGATTTATGGTTATATCAATCAAATTTAGTATCAGCAACATATATTTAAAACAAAAAGTGCGGTTCCATGAAATTCCTAATTTCGTTGTAAAAGACGTGCCACTGTCTTTGGGTCATATTTTGTTACAAATTCCTACAATCCATCATCTGGAGTACCGCAAGGGTCAAATCTCAGACCTTTGCTGTTTATTTATATGTCAACGACACAGTAGAATATATGTCGTGTCCATAATTACTTAAAATTATTTGTTGAAGTGAAAATTTTAAAAGAACATGAGCTCTTCAAAAGATTTATAGATGCTATTTTTAAGCGGTGTATTGTTAACAAGCTTATTTTAAACATACTTAAATGCATGGTTACCTCATTTAGCCAAAAGCTAAACTTTGTGAAATATCCATATAATATTAATAATATCATGCTATCGGGTTTCTGTAAACGATTAGAGGGTCGAAGTACGTCATGGATTCGTGCCGCCTCTCAGTTTTGAACTTTACTAAATGGTTCGCAACTTATTAAAAAGTAAAACAGTGTAAATGTTGAAAATATTCACCACTTTGTTCAAGGCACGTGTTCACTCTCTTTTTAATTTCAAAAATGTTCTGCAATCCTTTCGTCGGAACTCATTTTTCTATTTCATGTTACAACAGAAACTCCTGACGGATTGTGTCCTTGATGAAATGTCGATCGGAACATTTTCCAATGGGAATTCTCACAAAAAACATAGGAATAGCATTGCGCTTTGTCAATTCATTTATATTTTTTGAGCATTTGTTTAACCCTTCATCCGATTTCCTCGACTCGCTCAATATACGATATACTGCCATTATTAGGTATTACTATCATCATCGCAATTGAAGAAAGTTATTAAGAGTCACTGTATTTCCTGGACACTGCTATTATTATTAGTAGTATGCTATACATTTTTATACTTATATGTTCAGTTGGGAGCACGAAATAGTTTACGTTTCCATTTATGTCAGTTGTCAAAATTAAATTTTTTCGTAGTGTAAAATGGATATTTTATGTCAAAATGACACAACAGTGCCGTAATCGAGTCCATTGGCCGAATTGTAACTTTCGTATTTTCTTGATGTGTCATGACCTCTGGAATACGAACGAAGTGTTCTCTCGTTTCCGTTTTTCTGTCTGTCTATCTGTCTGTCTGTCTGACTGTCTGTATCCATTTTTATTAGACAAGTAATCTCCGAAACTACTAGAGCGATTGTTGTCAAATTTTGTATATATATTAAGAACTAGCTGACCCCGTGAACTTCGTTTCACCTACAATTTAATTTTGAATCTGCAAAGTCGAATGCTTTGAAATCTTGCAGATGTTTTAAACATATGATAAGCATAATAAATTTTTATTCAAAATGTATTTACTTATCCCCTCCAAAAAATTTATGACGTCAGCCCAAAATTTTGCCAAATGAATCTTATCTAAAATGTCCAAAATAGGATGAGACTATACTTACGATTTATCATTCCATTCATATTTTTTAGTTTTGCTTATAGGGGGTGTCTCAAAAAAATTAATCACTGAGTCAATTTATTTTATTGATTGAATCAAGAATTGCAAAACTGAATTTTGAAATATTGCAGACGTTTTGAAGTTACTGTTTGACATGGTAGGTTTTCAATCAAAATATATCTGTTTATCAAGCCCAAAAACTTGAAGACGTCATCTCAAGATTTTGCCGAATAAATCCTATCTAAAATGTGGAAAACATCATCAGTATATTTTCGTAATTTATCATTGCATTCATATTTTTTAGATTTGCTTTTACAGTGACTCAAAAAAATATATGGATCAGTCAATTTATTTTAGTGAATAACTCAAGAGTTGCAAAAATGAATACTTTGAGATCTTGCAGACGTTTTAAAGTTATTGTAAGCATGGTAAATTGTTAAGAATATTTATTTATTCCCCCCAAAAAATTGATGGAATGGCTCACTCGATTTTCGCAGATAATTTTGGGAATACAATACAGTTATTTTTAGTATTACACTGCACCAATCCAAGGTGGTATACGTGTTGATCGTAAATGTTGATTAGGTCATCACAAAATTGTGTGAAGAAAAGACTCAACTCGAGAATGCTGAATATGTTTCATTATACATTTGGTGCGAAGGAAGTTCTGTCGAAACAACGTTCGATCAAATTTTTGACAATGGTTGATATAAATAAAACTCAGTAGATGCTCATACTAGATTTTCTTTTCTAGATGATGCTAATACTTCAGTAGGTAACAGTTGATGCTCAAGTAGTATCTCGATACAACAAAAACGGGAAACAGTGACAGTGTTCAACGATCAAGGCAAAAATCGAGTCACCAAAATATAAGTTAGTATGGGGTAGACACCTTGAGATAGGAATCTCTATGGCCAGTGTTAGAAAAAACCCACTGCACAATTTATGCATAAATGAAAGTTAATTACCTGAAAAGTTTTCGATATTCCCGCTCTTAATGTGTTTTTCAAACTGAATGCGCCTTTTGACGACGTTCCACGTTCAACGGAAGCTGTCAAAGGAGGAATAATTTTCCCGTTTTTCCGAATTTTTCATTGCTACTTCGCTCATGGAGGAAGGAATATTCCTTCCTCCATGACTTCGCTCCTATTGATCGTAGCGTGATGTTATATAGCCTATATGTATAGACGATAAATGGACTATTCAACACAAAAAGATTTTTTGAATTCGAACCAGTAGTTTCTGAGATTAGCGCGTTCAACCAAAAAAACTCTTCAACTTTATTATATAAGTATAGATATATAATAATTGGCGACAGACATTTCACACTTTGATTTTACTATTGTTACTATTCCTTGCCACTACTACAAACTTCCATCGCCAAAAAATTTTACATTACTAATCTCAATTTTTTCGTATTCCAAAAGTTTGCTAATTACTTTTTTTGAATTTTTTATATCTATTTTATAATATATAGTTTCTTAGAACTGTCACTGAAACATAAATAAGTGTCAAACATTTGTGTAAACTACTGTCAAAATCACATTTAAAGTTTGAACGGGAGCAACTTGTATAATTAATTAACGATATGACAATTTTTTGGTATAGTGTTATAAATTGTGGCTACAGAAATTAACTATTCATTAATGGTCATAATCGTGTAACGACTAATTATTATCCATGTTTTTGCTTTTCTAGATCAACAAGGACGAGGAATTTTAAAGTGAAATGAAGCACCATATACGTTATAGGGTTAATGCGTCCTAATTGGCAACAAAAAGTAAACAAGACGTACTTACGTGCTTACTATACACTCGTACCCACTTGAAGTTTTATCACTACTAAAAGGAAATTTTCGCACGAAAAAATATAACTACTTACGTACTACTTCATCACTTTGTTAAAAATATATAAATATACCTTAACTATCGCACTTGATAATAATAAAAAGAAATGCACAACAGTTAATTTTTATTTAAAAATAACTGATATGAATACAATATTGCATATTGAAATATGGTTTTCAAAATAATTTGTAAACCAAAGTATTTTTATTATATTATTTAGGTTATTTAGCACTTGCTGAATAAAACATTGATACTATAACGGCGAACGAAGAGCCTAAACTAATTAGGAAGTATTGCAATAGGTTCCATTCGTCGGGTAGCTACTCTCATGTTTTCTCAAACTTCCATGACCCCAGAATTTGAAAAAATAGGTCTCCCGTTTTTGTCTGTCTGCTTATCTGTGGTTTGTGACCTTTCGCCTTATCCATTTTTGTTAGACCGATAATCTCCGAAACTATCACTATCGGACCGATTGTTGTCAAATTTTTAAAATTTGTGCTTATCGTAGTCTTCTGGCGGTTTTATTAAACAGATAACCTCCAAATACGTTCACTGAAAAGAATCAAGGAATTTTTATGACTTTGTTTGTCTTGTCTAGTTGTCGTCCTACCTGCAGAGATGTTACCATTTTGTTGATGTGTTTGAGTGACGAACAATTAGAGCATAACTTCCTGTACCCTTGTACCTAATTTCAATTGATTTGTACAACTGGTTCTCAAGATATTTAACCGTTTCCATACATTTTAGAGACCCTGTATAAAGGTTATCAGAAAACAAACATGTTTTATATTTATAAATAACGTTAGACCATTTTTTTAGATGGATGCACACCTGTTGGAAATAAATTCTATTTATTTATTTGTTTATTTATTTATTTATTTATTTATTCCCAATACTAACAATATACATATTAGACAAATATAAAACCTGCAGTCCTGCAAAGCTTTAACTAATGTTTGGTATTTAGTACAGGCCATGCAATTTCTTTGTAAGTTGGTACTAATGACAGATTCTCAAAATCCATCCCTACTAGATATCAAACATTAATGAAAGCAGCCCTGTATTATCTGTATGCCGAATCAATTCATCTTTATTAAAAATATATTACAAAAGAACAATCACATTAAAAAATATGGCTAAAATAACTTGTCCCCGCGTATATATGCACATTTAAAGCAGATAAAGTTTGTTTTAAAGTACCGATACTCGGCAATTTCTCCACGTCTTTTCTACTTTCTAATTTTTTCCAGATTTAGATAAAATGAATACCAGGTAGTAAACAAGCCGCATTTCTTCATTCTTTCAAATTACCATAGGAAAAAAAATCTTTCTGACCATCATGTGATAATACTAAAATCAGCAATGGGTAGTCTGCCAAATCTACACGAACTAGGAAAGGACTCTCAGAGCGGTCCATCGCCGTACCGACCAGGACCGGCGTTGGGTCACCTGTGCGGAGGCGGCCAGCCCACTTTGTCACAAGAAGAAAAATCAAAAATTCTGCACCGCTACTCTGGTCATGCTCGGATGACAAAGGCAAGAAGCAACGGTCACGAATCAAAAATAGCCTGCGACGACTTCATGCTGGAGGTAAAATCGAAAAAGTGTCCTCATTTTTGAGCGTAATACAGTTTGGATAGGCAGCAAAGTTTTTTCTCGAAATTTATTGAAAATAAGGTTGTAAATTATTATTACAGCTGACATTCACAACCCAAAACGAAAATCGCTGCCTGTCCATAATCCACGGTTGCTTATTTTGTGACGCCCCTTTGACTGGACTAGCGAGTAATTTTCATTTCAGCATATGGCCACTTACTCGCCGATTTCCAACCGCTCAACCCGAAATTTAGCCCATGCCATCAGACTCCATGAACAGTTCCATCGGAGCGACTTCGGTCCGTCGTTTGATCGCCGTGGTGCGCTCCAACACTCACAACAATCCGCAAGCAAGACAAGAACCACCGTACTCTCGCCGTCTCCTATTAACGAATCTCGTGGTTCTCTGCATCTCGCATTTAATCATCACTGCCGCCTTCCTGCCTTTCCTCGCCCTCCAAACGAGCGTTTCAGTGTGGACGATGCCCCTGAGGCACTACCTCAAACCCATCAACATTAACATAGGATCTTTTTTGCTGGCCGTGGTACATTTTTTCGCGGCGGCCTCCTCGGTTTTCGGACCCTCGGTTGTGCAGAAGCTTGGGACGAATTTAGTCTTTCTTTGTTCCTACGTCGTGTTCCTCGTTTTCTATGTCTCTCATCTTTATCCGTCGCTTTACTTACTTCTTCCTGTGTGCGTAGTTTTGGGATTGGTTTTGGGTCCGCTGGCTTCGTCACAAATCACTTTCCTGATGACTCTTTCAGCGAAAATTAGTTACATGTTTTCCGAAGACGACGACGATTCAAAAGCGATTAGGAAAACGTGTATTATTAGAAGGTTAGCGAGGGCGTTTAAAGCTGCACATGATTTTGGACTTATTGTAGGTTCTGTTTTATCCGCTCTACTTATCACCTACACGGTCAACATCAGCAATCAAGAATATGGAGACATATTCGACAACTCGACGGCCGTTAACGTCAAAAACGACACGGAGAGTTGCAGTAATTTTACGGTTGACACCAACTGCACGAGGTTAGTTTAATATAGTGCAAAAAGTAGATAGAAACATGTGTAGGTAAAACATATTTTGTGCGAACGCACGAACCATGAGTGCAAAGTTTTATAACGAACAAACATTCCAACTATTTAGTATCGTAGTAATAATAACAAAGAAACTCGTTTTCAAGTCGACCTATATTGATAAAACTAGGTGTATATACAAGGTGTTTGAAATACATGTATAAAAAATTTGAGTTCTAGGTATAGTGAACCTAAGAGGTCTGAAAAAGATCCTTCTGATATTAAAATTAGTGTGGGGATAATCGATCCCTATTCAGAATTTTTCGACACCACTGATGAATCATCAGGCACTTTTATGATCTTAGCAACCATAAAGCCACAAAAATCCCCATTACAACGATAATAACAAGTAAAATGCTAAAAAAATGTTATGTCTAGAGTGCCTTGATATGAATTTTTATAACGAGTGAGGACACGCTTGTCACTGTGACTCGTCTAATTTTTTTGAGGTTAAAACAACTGACCTCAAAAATACTTCAAATTTGACGAAAAGATCATATTATACAGGGGATAGGTAACTGTCAAATTAACTTTTAATCAATTTAATAACATTACTTCCCAAGTATAAGCTAAAGAAGTATAATCCAAGTCCATCGGACGAATTATCTTTTCTCGACGTTTCATGACCCCTATGGTACGAAAAAAGTAGTGTCCCATTTCCGTCTGACTATCTGTTTGTCTGTCTGTATCCATTTTTATTAGGTACGTAATCTCCGAAACTGCTGGACCAATTGTTGTCAAATTTTGTACATATATTAGACGTATCATGTAAATGATTAAATATTAACCAAAATTTTGCTAATTATCGTCACCAACAATTTGATGACGTCATTTTAAAAAATTCTGTTTGGTTTAACTGTTATACAACAATATACTCCTATAAGTGTGGTTTACGAATCCGCTTTGAGTTTTTCCCTAACCGTCCAAATTTTTGCAAACACATAATGCACGGTATAATGACTGGTAGTTTACCATTAGCGTAAAGCATGCGGATCGTGACCTACTGGTTGAGCGTGAGAAATACGGACCGGACATCGCGCGTTTGATTCCAAATTTGTCTTTTCGTTTTTTTTTTTCTTTCGCATTGTGTATTTATGGCATCAGAGCAATTTTTATTTGGATCAAATTACACCACTTTTTCGAAAACGTGAGAATATGCCTGTCTTTATTTAATAAAAATTATAATAATAATATATTCACACCATCCTATTCGACTGTAACAATAACTTTAACCGCCTGTTTTGACTATGTTAATTATGCCATCACAGAATTGTTTACTCATCAAATTAAGAATGAGTCCTCCTATTTTCTTGAAAGTAGAGAATGTGCCCGGCGATATTTAATAATGATCAAATAATAAGTGAAATTTGTGTTCCCGTGGCGCATAGATTGGGGGGTGCTATAACACTTAGTGATTTCGAAAAACTGCACAACAAAAACGTAGCAGTCGTACTTGCGAAGTCGTGCTGTCTGCAGAGCTGTTGCCATTTTATTTGATGTATTTGTGTGAATTCCACAGATCCTGTATAAAGGTTATCAGATAAAAAACATTTTTTATACTTTTTTAAAGAAGACTAGTGTACTTCAAGGGATGGAAGTTCTGTCGAAGTAACCTTGGACCAATTTTTTTTAGAAATAGCCTAAAAATTATAAAATTTGTGAAGTACCTATAAGAATCTAACTTCTTATTTTAGTATATACATTTTATCGTTATTTAGGTTCATTTTCAAGAGAACAGTTCCTGTACATGTTTTTTGGACGACTTTAAAAATAATCCCATTCATTGGTATAAAAACTCAACGAAAAATTATTGATGCACTTAAAAACACGATTTTAACCACGAAGTCCTTAAACAAGAAAATCTGAAACAAGAAATCGTTAAACAAAGAGTCGTCTGTTTAAAGATTCAAGTGTCTAAGTTAAAAAATCAATTAAGTAGTAAACAAAAGCTGTTTTTTGAACAAGACAGAGACATTATTAATTTAAAATCTGAAATTTCAAGTCTGAATTTGAAGTTAAACATGTGTGGCGGCACAATAACACGCGGGTAAAGCAGAGTAAAGATAAGTCGTCTCGTAGTGTAGCGGTTAGCATACCAGCCCGGATTGCTTGGAGACGTGGGTTCGAATCCCACCGAGGCACAACATTTTTCTCTGCTTTCCCACATTGGTGACCACCGACAGGCAACGCGCACGCAACATCCTTCTGCCACCGCCCTGTGCCCGCTGTGTTCGGGGTCCGCAGCACCGCCAGGGTTCGAACGACGAACGTAAGAGTGGCAGGAGCGACGCCAGCAACTATCTCCTTCGCACCCCAGCACGACCGCGCGCTGTGTCGCTGGGGGGGGAGTACTGTGGCGGCACAATAACACGCGGGTAAAGCAGAGTAAAGATAAGTCGTCTCGTAGTGTAGCGGTTAGCATACCAGCCCGGATTGCTTGGAGACGTGGGTTCGAATCCCACCGAGGCACAACATTTTTCTCTGCTTTCCCACACATGTTTGGAAAATTTGGAAATAATGTTAATAAAGGTGAAATTTATGTAAAACTAAAAATTTAAGAAGATGGGATAAAAAGATCTAGAAAAATCTTAAAAATTAAATTTTGCTACGGATACTCTGGTTATTATCTAACTCTTTCAAAATTTAACTATCCACTGGCGTACTTAAGCACATTAAATATAAAAGGGCAGGATATTAAATTTATGCCAAGGGTCGTCTATGATTTTTTTTTAATTAACTATGTATTAAAATGGAAGCTTTAAATCACTTTGAAAAAGACTGCTGTTTATTTTTGGATGAAACAACAATAACTCCAGGAAATCAATATTGTGTTGGACTTAATTTGACAAATATAACATCTGAAATCGATCAATTTGAAAAGGTTTTGGCATAGCATGCAGTAAATTTGGGGTACAAAACTTTATGCTGAATCTAGTTGACAGCAGTAAAAAAAAAATTGGTCTAAAGAGTTTAGACAGTACTTCCCTCGCTGTCGGAAACTTGACGACTGCATGCCTATTGTGTTTTTTTTCTCATTACATTTTTGTAGTGGGAATTTAAAAAAAAATTGCGATGACGTCATCAACATTTTTGCAAGGACACGTATATCAGTTGGGATAGATGTAGTGTAATACTAAGAATAAAATTATTATATTCTCAAATTTTCGGGAAAATGAATTGGGTCGTTTGAATATTGATTTGTAATAATCAATAAAATAACGAAACAATTTACTCACGTATACCTACGTATCAGAGGCAACTGAAAATCGTGTATGTATAAACATTGTTAATTTAAGATGACAGGCGTAACAGCATACGTGAGAGCCAAACACAGAAACTGTAAACAAAACGACCGTCGGTTTTATTGCTTCGACTTCCGCTTATTATATAAAACATTGGGTTTTATTTTAATTCTTGACGGTGAAATTCACAATTGGTTGATTATAAACATGTCTATTTCACATTCGCGGAATCAAGTGAACGCATAAAACAAATGCAGGTCTGTAATGTTAAAGTCGATGTAAATAAGCGTGCTACCCTTATGTTTCAACCGAGTTTTTCCTTTAACAAATTTTGTGTCTACCAAATTGGGTTGGTTGGGGTGTAATACTAATAATAAGTGTTGCCTTTAATTTAATCAATAAAATAAATTGACTTCATTAATTTTTTTGAACCACCTCTTAAGAAAATCTAAAAAATATGAATGGAATGATAAATCACAAGTACAAACTCATCATATTTTTTGCATTTTAGATAGGATTTATTCAGCAAAATTTAAGGGTGACGTCATCAATTTTTTTAGGAGGGATGAACAAATACATTTTGAACAAAAGTTTACCATGCTTATAATAACTTTAAAATATTCCCAAGATTTCAAAGCATTCGGTTTTGTAATTCCTGATTAAATCGATAAAATAAATTCACGCCTTCATTAATTTTTTTGAGTCACCCTGCATATGCAAATCCAAAAATATGAATGGAATGATAAATCACAAGTACAGACTCATCATATTTTGTACATTTTAGATACGATTTATTCGGAAAACTTTTGAGCTGACGTCATCAGTTTTTTGTAGAAGATAACCAAATATATTTTGACTAAAAATTTATTATGCTCTTTATAACCTTAAAACATCTGCAAGATTTCAAAGCATTCGGTTTTGTAGTTCCTGATTAAATCAATAAAATAAATTTACGCATTCATTAATTTTTTTGAGTCACTCTGTATATGCAAATCCAAAAAATATGAATGGAGTGATAAATGACAAGTACAGGCTCATCATTTTTTGTACATTTTAGATATGATTTATTCGGCAAACTTTCGAGCTGACGTCATCAAGTTTTTGGAGGGGATAAGCAAATATATTTTGACTAAACATTTATTATGCTCTTTATGACCTTAAAACATCTGCAAGATTTCAGAGCATTCGGTTTTGTAGTTCCTGATTAAATCAATAAAATATATTTACGCATTCATTAATTTTTTTGAGTCACCCTGTATATGCAAATCCAAAAAATATTAATGGAGTGATAGTTCACAAGTACAGACTCATCATATTTTGTACATTTTAGATATGATTTATTCCACAAACTTTTGAGCTGACGTCATCAAGTTTTTGGAGGGGATAAGCAAATATTTTTTGACTAAAGATTTATGATGCTCTTTATAGCCTTAAAACATCTGCAACATTTCAAAGCATTCTGGTTAGCAGATTAAAAATTAAATTTCAAAATGTTGTTTTATAATTTTGATTTTTTTTCCAAAAATCTGGACGTTTCGGGTGAAAAGTCGATTCAGAGTTGTAAACTACATGTGTAGGACTATGTTATTTTATACAATTGAAAACCCATTTACTATGTACAATTTTGAAGTGACGTCATCGCTTTAGTGGTGGGGATGATTCGACAAATTTTGGTTAGCGTTTTACCATCTACATGATATTCTTAATATA